TTAGGAAGTTTCAGCTGAATCCAAGTTTGAGCGATTTTCGTCGTAGTAGCACTTTAAGGAAAGAGTTTATAAGTAAAAAACTGAATCCAATCCCTTCCCCTTTCTATTTTTGAAGTGGGTCATAGAGTGACCACAGTAAATCCGTGAAACTTCATGCAAATTCCATTGTTTTCTATATCGTTTAATTAGCACTATTTTGTACTATTTAGTAATTAGTGTTTCACGGATTAATTGTTTGCACTCTAGTTCACGGAGTATTGTCAGTTGTATAATCCATGGCTACTAGGGCTCTTATTCTATACCGCCCTAACGGTTTGCTTTGTTATTCATAAGGTTGTATACACTCAATTGAAGAATCGTTGTCGGGCTCAGAAACATAGAACATGGAAGCTGAGACCGAAATGGCACATGGGAAGTACGTTAATTGGATGCATGCTGTGACCGGCGACCCGTGGCATCATCCACTGTTTTTRATACGCGTTTGGCATTCTAAACCGACTGCATGGATGGCACAAATGAATAAATTATAATATAATTATGTCATTCCCCATGTGCCATTTCGGTTTCAGCTTTTATGTTCTATGTTTCTGAACCCGACAAAGATTCTTCAATTGAGTGTATCTGGTTTAAATATTACGGTCATAAAGTATGAGGGGAGGCAAAATCAGTGGGTGGGTCACATAATTTTGAACTCCTTCAAATTGGTGGGCTGTTGATAAAATTTGATAACCAAAAAGGGTCGGCCATTACAAAATAGAGTATTATAATTGTCATCATCAGAATTTCTCAAGGAAATTTGTAGTTGCAGAGGATCTGGTTAGGAAGTATGTAGAACGAACATCTGCAGTACCTTCGAATGAACAAAATTAAAATGGCAAATGAAAAGAAAAATATAAGGAAGCATGCAGAGAAACTTAAAGCATACAAAGAGTATGACTGGAAAGACATACAAGAAAGCGGAATACTTAAGAAGCAGGGGGTTACAGTCTTGGACCTCTTAAAAAAGCACAACTTGCTCAAGCGCAAAATGTACAAAAGTGAGAAAGTCCAAGTAATATAAATGCTTGGCTGTCTATGCATCCATGATATCAGGATGATGTACAAAGAACTGAGAGGGTTTTATTGTTGTAGGGCCGCACGGTCCATATATCAACATCCATGATATCAGGATGATGTACAAAGCACTGAGAGGGTTTTATTGTTGTAGGGCTGCACGGTCCATATATCAACATCCATGATATCGGGATGATGTACAAAGCACTGAGGGTTTTATTTAAGATTGTTTTCATTTCTATAAAAGAATTATAAAGTGGGATTAAGGCACAATTGTTGGATTTTACACATTTTTCTCGGAATAATATCTGCCTTGGAACCGATACCCGACATACGTCCATGCATTTTTGTGGACTACAAACAAGTCAGTATAGAATAGACTCCTTTGTTATCATTTACCACGAATAGCTCATTGTCTCTAACAGAGCCCTGTATTGGTCCATTTGGCATCACTACTAAACAAAGTTTCCGAGCAAATCTAACGTTGTTTAGTTTAGTTTATTTCTCACAATACGGTATTAACATATACATTTTATAAAACTTGAGACATACAAATTTTGTGACTGGCGAAAAAAACAGAACTTTCGTCCCAATTGATATTCCCTCTCCATACAATTTACATACAGTACAAACATGATTAACATTAAAATTGACGAGGAAAAAACAATAATAAATAGAAAAACATCAGAATTTATCAAAATTAAAATTCCAAAGATTTTAAGGTGGGAAGTTGCGTTATCGTTGGCTAACGAAAACCTGCCTAACGAGAACAGCATCATCCAGTGTTCGTGTAGGACATTTACAAGATGGCGTCATATTGACTACCAGACTTCATTGCACACTTTCTTTTGTTCAGTTAATTAGCACCAATTGTCTTATTATTTAGTTGTTATATGAGTGAATACAAATTGAAATGAGAAAGAAAATTTGTGAATCATCTTATACGCCATACGCCCTATTCAACCAATTGGTTTAATGCACAAGCACTTTCCTGTGATGAGCACTCATCTCCATTTTAGGCCAAAGATAAACAGTAGAGTGCAAACCATATATCCCAGGGCCGTAACCAGGGGGCTTTTTTTTGATTCTGCTATTTTTTATTTTTGGTTACCTTTTTTTTTKGGGTTCTGCAAATCATTGCCTGTGCACCTCCATAGCAAGATCCCTGGTTACACCCCTGTATCACTGAAATAATACTAACTAATTAGTGCAAAATAGTACCAACGAAACAATTGAAAACAAAAGAAATAGATGTGTTTAGTGCTATTTAGCTTTTGTGCTATTTCAGTGATATATGGTTCGCACTTTAGAATTATATCCCTTAAAGATTCTCCTCGACCCTTCCCGATATTCCACAGGTACATTGTGATAAAGACATTGATATTTTCTCGCTCTTGATGTCATCAAAAATGTTGTCAAGTATCAAATTTTACATATTTTTTATTTACAGTAGCATATCCATTTTTCAAGATTGTTCTTCTCTTATTTCAATCGACAACGATGGTCTGTCCATAAAATCAAAGCCATGCTTTCTTCTGGTTTTTAGTCTTTCTCTCAAGTCAATCCCTTCGTTTTTAGCAGTGTTGTCTACCTCTATTTGGATTCTATCTTGTATTTTATCCTGCAGCTTATCCGGTTTTCTTTCCTGTAGTCGTTCTTGTAATCTATCATGGATTTTACTTTTCTCATCTGGGTCGTTTTCGCTTCCAAGGTCATCTGCATGCATACGCATGCGCAGTCGCTCTGGTACTTCCTTGGACGTGCTTTCTAGTGTCCTATCATTCTTGACAATCACCTTCATGGCTGGCTCATCCACTTCCATCTTTTCTTGTTCTTCTACTTCCATCTTTTCAATAAACTCTACATCAGGTTCACCAGAATATTTGTGCCTTGCTCTTTCCTTGTCTTGCATGAGTTTTCTCTTCCTATGGAACAATCAAGTCAGAATCTCATTTGACCCTCCTTTGCGGATGTTCTTAAGGGACACAGGGTTCGTGCTGAGGTAACTACTTAAAATTCAAGGACTATTCAAAGAGTATACAAGGAACCAAAAAATAATTTTCAAGGAGCATGTTCAGCTAACTATGCCAAGGTTTTACAAGGTGGTTGCACATGGCTGACTTTCAGATTTTCCAATCTTTCTGACTAGATCTATTTCAGAGCCATGCAAGTAATGATCAAAGCAAACATTCAAGGAGTTTTCAAGGAGTTTCACTAAAATCATAAAATTCAAGAGCTTTTCAAGTGCCCTTGAAAACGTGAATTAAATTCAAGGAGTTTTCAAGGAGTTTAAGGAGTAGCATGAACCCTGGGGCTAACTTTCATTTATTAGGGCATGCGAAGGGGAACAGGAATATGAATGACTTAATGAGTCCTTATTAAAACCACCAAAGAATAAAATTTGTTATCTGTTATTAAAACTTGTTATGGTTATTCACCAAGTATGGCAATGATGCAGCACAAAATGTTGAACTTAAAGCAATGCAAAGGCACCTCTGGGTGTCGCTATACAGTCCATGTGTGACCCCAGAGCACAGCTCTAACCAGTTTAAATTAGTTAGGGTTGATTTGAGAGGAGGGAGGAAAAACTGAAAAGCTGAAAAAACCCTTGGAGTCAGGAAGAGAACCAATCAATTCAGTTTGCATAGCGTGTATGTTTACTGTCTGATTCAGTTTTACCAGCACGCCATCCTGACTCCCCTAAAAACAATACACCCAATAAATGAAAGAATCATTTGGGTATTTAAAGTCATCAAGGTCATCATTCAATCTAGACCTCACACAACATTGACTGGTATAAATACCTTGACTTGCTAACGATTCCTTTCTTTTTTCCTGTCAAGCAATAAACATATTCTATAAATTTGATGATCATTAATTTGTACTGAGATTCTATCCAAGTGATCTTAAAAAGTGCACAATGCATGGTTTTCTGACTTGAAAAAGAATCAATCCCTAACATTTGAATATGTATTCTCTTGAAACGTAGTGCAAAATATTGGTGAAAAGAAGTCATAGCTGCACATTTGAAGTCTATAGTAATGTTTCAAGTTATGTACAAGAAAACTTTTCTAAGGAAAGCTTATTTTAAGTCAGTGTTTATCCGTTTCATAAGAAAATGCCGTTACAAGTTACTGTATCTAAGTGATTTTTACTCAAAATTAGGATCACATCTTTGTTTCTAATTACCCCTCATCTTTTGTGAAAAATCAGCTTAGAGGGCACTGGGAAATAGGATGGGTTTGTAAAACTTTGTATGCAGTTTTCTTTCCTCTTGGGCTACCTGTGCCTTCTCAGGCTAGCTTTTTCTGCACAGCAGCCATTTTGGGAACCCCCCTTGAAATCCTGCATCCACCACTCAGTAGTTAACTTCACCAGCCTAGGTAAAATCTAAATATTATGGTTTAATGCAATATATGTCTACTGACCTGTAGATTGCCCTGGATAGCCGTGTACAAGATAGTACATGCTTCTCTTTGCTGCTCCTGGTTGCTTTTTGTCCTCTGAAACAACATCACGAATTAAAATAGGGAAGACAGACCAATCAGATAACAGTAAACTAGACAGAAATTGAACTGATAACAGTGATAGCCAATCAGATTACCGCATTCTCACGCTCTTATCATGCTCTTATCATGCTATCTGATTGGCTGGTAAAAATGTTGAACTTAATGTCGCAGTATGATTGATTATATAATGAATATTATGTCCTATTTCATTAGGAATTTCTAGTATAACATAACTTCATTTCCATGAGAAATTTTGTAAGATCACACAAAATTTGGTGAAGAGATTAAAAGGATTTTACAGCTATATTTTTGTATTATTTTTTGTTAATCAAACTTTACTTACTTTTGGTAGCAAATCGTAACAACAATCTACCCTTTGCCTTCTTGCATAAGGGACCAGCCTTCCATTGCAGCACAGAATTTTCATTTCCTTCATAAAATTAAAAAATATATAAACAAAACAATCATCAAATAACCTTATCAAGAGTACATCCCAAGAATGAATTGGAATTTCAAAAAGTTAAGAGTCACATGGCTCCAACTCAGGTGTCTACATCTAAATTTATATTTTTATATTATAATTAATATAAATGCAAAATGCTCTCTCGAGTGTAATAATCTTGTAAACTCTTGGTCCAAAAATCCTGAATTTTGCATCTTGCTTGCACAAGATAGCATACCCAAAACGTGAAGGGCAGTTTATTATAATGAATACCTAGCCCACATGTTGATTACCTGGCTCACTTGAATTTAAACTTTTTCCCATTGAGTCAAGAGCTCTGGCTGCTGAATGCTCATCTTCCCAGACTACATTACCTGAAGAGAATAAAAGCGATTCACATTTTATCAGCTTATAAAAGTAGTAGGAAAACACGGCACTTTTGTTACACATTAAATTTGTATGAAATCAGTCTAGATCCATCAGATATTTATAAGTGAGGGTTATCGGCCTTCAGCTCTCACATAACCCCGAGCTGAAGGCCAATAACTGGCTTATTTTTACGTTGGGGAGGTTTTCAGAATTGTGCTTGTAAACACTCGATGAATCAAAAAGGCACAATTTATGAGTTCCTTTCTTCCTACCATTGAAGAGATGTTCAGAGGAATAAAGAATGTTTAATTGAGTGATTTACTATTATGTTACCCCAAATGTACTGAATAGGAGTTGATTTTTATATTAAAAAGGTGCGGTATTTGAACTGATGAATGTTCTTTGTTTTGTATTCGTCTTTTCATAGCAAAAAATTTACAGCTATTTTCTATTACTAAGCTCTCAAAACCCAAAACAGTTTTTGTGGTTCTCTCTTTACGCCTATTTATTTTATTTGCGACATATTAAAAGGGTTGGAGACTTAAACTTTGTGATTTGTTTACGAATACACGCACTTGCTGACTGTATAATGAACTTTCCCCTTGGGAAATTTCTCTTTCATTGTACAGTCATCTCGTGCACGTGCTTCCCTTAACTTGTTATATCTGATTGTGATAATGCACAGTAATATGATTCTACTCACAGGAAGCATCATCAATCCATTCTATGGATTCTGGTCCATACTCTTCAAAGTAGTTGAACACATCCTTGGTACTCATATTGTCTATACCATAAACATGGAGTGCATCTTTACGTATTTCACCTGTTATTGTATTGTATAACAAAAACTTTGAGCTCTAGGTTTAAATTCTTTGGGTGTAGGTTACGTTATAGCTGACATAGCTGCTATAGCTGCTATAGCTGCTTGGTTGATGAAAACAAAGCATTCCTCATTAGCTTCTCTTGTTAGATCAACCAACATGGTAGCTGTGTCATCGTTATTTACATCTCCAGGGTTAAATCCCTAGAATACATTCCATCTTGAAAATTTTAATGTTTGCTTTTCAGTGTTATCCTCCAATTTTTCAATATTTATTACTTATTCCAATGAAAATTTTATGAATTCAAATAGGTCAATGTGTAGTTCCAGAAATCATCCATACCCACCCCACAGAGGAATTTGGAATTTCTGAAGAGTAGGGGGTTCAGAGAAAGAACAAAAATTACAGAGTTTGTATTGGAAGAAAATTGGAATTTTCAGGGGGGTAGGGGGTGTCTTAAAAAAATCCTCTGTTAGGGGGGTACGGATAAGTTTTGGAACTACACATTATAATTAATATTTTCTAATATTTTTAGAGGGTCTTTCTTGTCCAAAACAATACCTTCAGGGATCTTTGGGGTGTCCTTTGGTAATATCCTAAAACAGTATAAAAAGATAGAATGTCAAAAAATAACAAAAAAAACTTTTTTCTGGTCCATTAAAAAATTGTGGGTTCTGATTTGCTGCGAGAGTGGGCAGTATTTTTTATCTCTGACCGTGGTCCCGTATCCTGGGATAACAAATTGCTAAACAACAACAACAAACTTGTAAAACAATATAAAAAGTGAATGGAAAAAAGTCATTTACTGGCCTAAAGTCGGTTTTGATAGGAAAAACTGTGCCCTTGGCTTGTGTAATTATTTTCTGATCATAATTTGCTCCTCCCCCACACACACACCACAAACACACACACTCAAACAACATTGAACATGGGGTGAAGGGAAAGTGCGATAAAGGGTAAACGACCGAATATCTATTGATTTGTGTTGATAATTGCACAACATATTGTACTAACTAATAATGGCAAAGATTGTAGCTAAGATAATTGTAAATTAGACTCTAACTGATAGTCCTTGAGCCTGAATGGGCAATGAGTCAGTAGCCCACAAGGCCAAAGGCCAAATGGGCCATAGACTTATAGCCATTAGGGCAAGGGAGCTAATTGTTAGTCAAATCTAACTAGTTGGTCAAAACGATAGATGCAAACAAGTTTTGAATTAAAGTTAAATTTTCTGTAAGTTTTGTTTTTCAAAGCTGACACTTTTCACTACTAATAGGATATAACTTATAGCCTAGTAGTAGCTTATCCAATCAGACTGCAGCATCGATGATAGACCACTAGTTGGATTTGACTAAATTGTGACTCAATCAGCATCAACCATACACCAGTTATCAATAAGATCATAACAAACTTATTAAATTTTCTTGAAACAGAACACTCACATTTCATTTTCATCGTTCCCGTCTGTTTCCTTGTCTTTATTAGTTTCTTCTTCTTCTTTTTCTTCTATTACTCCGAATCTTTTGCGTCTTCGAGCCTTCCTCTCGATAGCTTCCTACAAACACAATTATCTTTTTTGTTTATGCATGAACACGACGAATAACTAAACCAACACAAGTGATCCACAAAATTAAAATCTGTATCCTAGGTTTCAAAACTACAAGTAAACAGCACTCGTAAAAATGGCATAATAATTGGTAAGCTTATTAGTGTAATTTTTGCTCTAATGATTGTAGAAAATTTCTCTCACCTTGGAGTTGACATCAAAGCCGGTCACAAAACCACCGGCTGTATTTTCATACTTTTTCGGCTGCAAAACAATGTAAAAAGCCATTTCTACCACTGATAATCAAACACTTTAGCTTAGTTAAACTTGTCCAGCTTACAGGTAGTTGCAGTCCTTCTTGTTCTTCTTCTTGTTCTTCTTCTATTGGAATTTCAATCTTTAGTTCTTCAAACTCCATCTTGGATTTGTTGCACATGCGCAGCGTTTAATGATCACCACAGGAAGCCCAAGCTAGTATCTTTATAATCTTTTTGTTTTACAGTCGACTCTCTTCAAGCAACTCGTAAGCGAGTTTGTTTTTTAATGTTAACACTGTCAATAAAATCTGTTGGTTTGTAGGCAACTCGGCTCTCTTAATTGACCACTGAACTTTATTGATTTTATTATCTTAAAATTGTTCAGCGAGAATGTCAGAAGCTACTTTTGAAAATTGATCATGATACTAGGATGTAATGATGATTTTACGAACACAATCTATCCTAAATCGTTTGTAAACACCAAGGAAAACATTGCGCAAAGCGTTTGCGAATTTTTCGATTCGCACTGTAGGTGGTTTTGGGTGTCCGTCGGAAGAGAGAAGATTTCCGAGATCAGCACACGCGCGTTCATAAATATATCGCAGGTATGAAAATGAGACAATTCCTTTGTCCAGCGCGTCGCTCCAGTGCGTGTGATCCTGGTTGGTGCTTTATTCAGCCCGCGGGAGACGAAGGACTATGCGAATATCTAGTGCATCTCGGAAAAGATCTGTTCTTTCCGACCATGCTTCACCCGAAGGTAGTCGCTTACGAGATCCTCTTGCATGGATAGAATGAAATATCAAAAAGATAGAATCCAAAAAATCCTATACATTACTGTCTATAAAAGCAAATAGCCCATTCTCCCCTATTTTCGATGGACAAATGAAGGATTAAAAATGAATGAATGAATAAATGGGGGAATTGGTATAAACAAATGGAAAAATGACTGACTAATGAAATAAAAGGTGGAGGAGAAAATGAACAAATATACTCCCAGACATGTCAATCAGTAGTCAACAGAGTTTATTTGACTTCAGTACCATAATACATGCATATAGTTTTGCTTGACTTTGATCTGTTATTTGTGAAAATAGCTAATGTACTAACATGATTTGTCTGATGCTACTGACTGAATCTAGCAGACACTATATAGATTGATTTTGTGGGTTTTAAAAATGAGCATGATAAAAATGGATGTTTCCGCAATAGACCCTTTGGAATTCCAAATAACCGCTGTGTTCTTGATTACAGACTCATTTGCACAGGGTTAGACTCGAGTTTGTGCAGAATATTCACGTGTTCCAGTCAAGGTCCGTCGATTTTCACAAAGTGTTTGTATTGTTGAAGTTGTGCACTCTTTACTTCAAGTAAGCTTGGCACGTTCCACCAACGTCTGGTGGCCCCACATCTGGTGGCCCCACACCTCTGGTGGCCCCTGTACCATTTTCTCCGCGGCAATACAACCTGTGATTACGAAACTTGGCAGGGATGTAGTCACGTGCCCTGTCAGTCACCCCAACGATTTTGGGTGTATGACGTCACATATCACGTGACTTGCTAAGATAACATTATCGCCAGTTTTTTTGAATAAACCTTTTTTGACGTTATTGCACTGAAGTGTTTTGGTACATTAAAAAGACCCATAAACTTAAAAAATTTTATAAAAATTTTATAATAAGGGGATTTTGTTGGAAAAGCCCCGGTAAGGATTTCTTTAGCTTTCCATATGCATAAAAAGGTAAAGGTAAAGCGTCCTTATTTTACGTCGGTCGTAATGGTCATTRACTAATTAACTTGCTGAGGCCGATGGTGCGTTCATTTCGCTCCCTCTTTCYATCAGTGCTCCGTTTTAAGGGTATTTAAAGCTAATTAAAGCTACACGGAAAGGAAAGAAGTCGAAACAAGGATGTGTGGTCACTGAATGGAAGTCAAACCTCTTGCAAAGAAGACCGCGCACTAACCAACAGGGGCAGCGGAAGCTGAAAATTTTTGGGGAGGGGGGGG